AATGCTCCCCATTTGTAACTGTCCAGAAGCTGACACAGATCTGTAGGAGTTACTGTATGCCAACATATGTTTCTGCACTTTTGCTTTTGCTAGTAGTAGGGAAGATGTCAGCTGTCCCAATCTCCAGAGGCTCACTCTTCTGACCTTCCCACCAGGGCAGGATCCCAATCACCCTGCTTGGTGCAAAGGTCTCTTTATTTTTTGTGTGGATCCTGTTATTAACTCCTCTAGGGGAAACTCATTTAGGGAGAAGGAAAGAAAGAAGGAAATGTACCCTGTAGACCTCTCAGACAGGAAGCAGTGTTTCTGTTTTAGTGCACACATTTTGAGGCAAATTAACTTCTTGTAAAAGTTGGCAATTATAATTTATCCTTTGCCCAAGTAGAGTAGCATTTAAAAATATTATTGTGATATTTTTAAACATGCTGCTATTTTTAAGGAGACAGAAAAATCTGAGCAGTGTGTGTAGTGCATAAGGAAATTATAAGTGTTATCTGTTTCTTTTTGACAAACAGAAACAAAGAACTAAAGATTTTTATTTTTTAATAACTCTTTGAGATCCTTCTTTCTGACATAATAACCCAGCCCAAGACAGGATGAATTGGGCAGTGACTATACTGGCATTTACCTTAAGAAACTGTTGTAAACAGGAAGTAGAGATTTGGAAAAGACTGACGAGGAAAAAAGAAGGATAACATAGCATCAGGAAACTTTCTGATAGGGTTTTTTGGCGCGGTAAAGGGAGAATATAAAGTAAAAATGGCCATATTTCTAAGAATGTAGAGAGAACCCCACCGGGCCTGGCTTTCTCTGCCAGAAGGTGGGACATGGGACATACATATAACCTCTGACCAGAGTGGTGCTTAGGGCTGGCTATGCTGACGTGTGAGCAGCTGATTGGGACTTTTTTGGTCATTGGTACAAGGAAAATGAAGTTGTCATGGGGAAAGGGGAAGTGACCTCAAGGTAAATATCCCTTGGTCCCGCCTCCCACTGCTGTAATATCATATCTAGGGAAAAATCCTTTCACTTCCAAACTGCCATGTCAGATGCATATTTCTGATAATATCTGTAAATATCAAAAAATGTTGGTAAGCATGTTATGAAACACACTCCAAATCCCAATTACCTAAGCACCATTGTCTGGTCTTCCCAGTACTCCCAAAAGATGTTACAGAGGCATTTTTTCTGCCTGATGAAAGTGAATTTCTTCCTCCAGTAATGTACACAAAATCTGTTAAAGTATCCTGGTGTAATCTTTTAGACCTTGACACAAAATAGTGAAAACCTGGCTGCGTAGCTTGGCAAACATTTCTAAGGCCTCAGAGAAATACAATGGGATTGTTTCCCAAGAACATGGCAGAGTTGCCATAGAATTTATGTACAGACTTATTATATCATTAATTTTCTATACTGAGAACCTACTAGATGCTAAAGAATACAAATATTCTGTAGATATTTTATAAATGTCAATTATGCACCTATTTTTGTTCTAGATATAGTAGGTACAAAATATGAGTGTGTCTACTCATTAAGGTTTACATTCAAGGTAGTTGCTTTTATACAACTGTTGGTTTAAAGAGAAAAACACAGTTTTCAGGACTCAATTCACAAATATGTTTGATAGGTGTCACCCATGCATCTTCTGCACCTTCCTTCTTTGATATTTCCCAGTCACTTAGATAAATGTTCAATCTTGTGTGGGAGAGAAATAATCTTTAAGAGAGAAGAAAAGTAAATCAAACAGCTCTTGCTAAAGAGCATGCTACATTTTGTAAACAAACTGCCAACATTTCTTTTTACATTTTCATCACTCTCTTAAATGTATCAACCCCTTTAATTATTAACAATGGGCACTGCATTATCACTTTTAGAAACCTAACAAAATCAATTTTGCACAATTGTCTCTAAATGTAATATATGGAGAAAAATTTAGACTTTATAATAAGATTTATGGGATCATTTTCATTTTATAAACATGAAAAATTCCAGAGGGATCCAAGGTCATGAGGAAGTGGTAGAGGCTGTGGTTAGAAGAATCCAGTAGTCTGATCTCCAGCCCAACTGATGTTTCTTCTGTTCTTCATCAGTGACTTCCTGTGTAATCTCAAACTTCTCCAGTTCTGATACCAGTATTTGAATTATAGTACTTTTTAGAGCAGATGTCTTTAGGAAAATAGTATGCATGTATATTTTTTCAAATATTTTGTTGCCTCTGAAGAATTTTTTCAAATATGTTGGTGCATTTGTAGATGTTTTGTTTCATGATCATATATTTCTCTGATATCAACTGTAGCTTTCAAGAATGATTTTAGAGTAAGAATCATCTAAAAATTTTTATGTTCATGATATAGAGCAAAAGTAATGTCACTTAAGCTTTTGGTTTGTTTGCTTTTGGTGGTTTTTGCTTTGTTTTGTTTTTGGTAGCAGGAATCAAACTTAGCATCTTGCACTCGCCAGGCAGGCACTTATGCCACTGAGCTATATCCCAGCAAAAAGCCTTAGTATTATTATAACCAATTTCAAAGTGAAAATTGATAGCAGGTCCATAATTTGAATCTTCATCTGATGCAAATATTCTGTATCTTATATGATGTACTTAGAGTAACCCCTGATTTTGAATTCTCAAAGCACATTTGCTTTTTAGTCCTTTTGTAAATGGGATACCTATTGACACACACTCATTGTTACAAGTATACTCAATCCATAAAGTAGTCTAGATTATACAATTTGGCTATTTTGCATTTTGAAAACATTGTTTTAAGAATCAAAGGTGAAAGTATTCATGACATTTTTCCTAAGAGAAAGTTCAATCTTTCTAGTGAATTGAGCGTGGCAGCTCTAATCGTCTCTTCATCCCAAGAACCAGGTTTGTCACTAGTGAAGGGAACTTCATGAGCCACCTCTGCCTCTTGCTGATGTCCATCAAACGAGTGGCCACTCCTTATGATTTCTGTCTTGTCACTGGACTAGCTGATATGCTTGTCGGCCACTTACTAGCTTTGGCAATTACTTATCTCCTTGATCTTAGGAGAGTCAGGCTTTCAAATTAATATAGGGGCTACAGTGTAGTTTTGCTTTTTTATAATTCTAAGTCTAGAACAGGTAGCTCCTCAGGGTGATTAGTAAATAAAGCAAATTTTTCCACCTTTCAAAATGTTTAACTGATACATAATAATAGTATATACTCACTAGATAGAGTGAGTTATTTTTGAGACATGTATATCATATAATATTCGAATAAGTATAATCAGCATACTCATGATCTTAAACATTAACTTTTTGTACTTAAAACATTCAAATCTTGGTCTTAGCTATTGTAAAGTGTAAATTATTAAATATAGTCATTCTATTGTGTTATAAAATGCTACAGTTTAATCCTTCTGACTGTATTTTTGCACCCACAAACCAATCCTCTCCATCCCCTTCTGCGCCCAACTCTACCTTGCCTCTGGTAACTACATTTGGTGAGACTGCATTCAATGCACATGTTGCAGATAATGTATTGTACAATGGCTACTCATTCTAATTGTCAGCATGCCTGGATTTGCTGAACATTGGATCATTTTGAAGTTCTCTCTGATATATCAACATTTTTGAGTTATTTTAAAAATATAGGTGTTGATTTTATGTAGTTCAAAATCAATGTACCTTATTCCAGTTGTGTAAACTATTTAACATAATAAAAAATTATGTTTTGTTCTTTCACACTTCTTTTACTATGCAAAGTATATTTCTTTTGCAATTTCATTGTCAGAAATATTTGCCTGTTAAGTAATAGGAACATTTGTTAAGGGGAATATGAGTGGAAAAATGGAAAAGCTTATCATATAAGGATTGCATATCTTCAGTTTTAATAAACATATATATATATATATATATGTTAGCTTCATGTTCTTAAAACTATTTAAAAAACATATTGTTCTCTTCCTCAAATATACATTCACACAGACACACACACATGCGCACGCAAATGGACAGATAACTATTTTCCTTAGTCATTTCATTATTGATTTATTTACAGTTAATAAAATGAATTCATAACCAAATTGAAATATAGTATCCCTATCATAAATTCTTACCCCTCTATGTTTTGGAGTGTGTTTGAAAGTTTTGCTGTGACTGATTTCGTAACTCTTGCATAATCAGAATTATGTAACTGGAGTAGAAAGAAAGTAGAATCCGAAGACTCTTCTGTGCTGATGCTGAAGCACCTCCTCGTTACAAGTCATTAATAAAAGAGATCCACAAATAAAGTTGAATATTCTTACCCACTTACTGACCAGTATTATTATTTACTGCTATGAATGTTTACCCAGGAAGGCCTTTCTGTGCACTGTGATATGTGCAGTGGATATTGGCTGAATGCAGAATACTGTCACTGAAGTAGCATGACTTGACATGCTACACAGCATACATGACAATAAGTTTAAAGAGTGGAAAATGGAAACTACTGAGCTTTTCAACTGATCACAATCAAATCAGAGCACATCAAAACAGCTGGTGTTCTGTGACTCAGAATCAATCAACCAGCTTTGAATCACCTCATGCTTTTCTCTCTTTACAGTTCCATGCAAGAGATTTAAACCAGCATATGTCCTTCCCATTTGGTTAAATCCCTGCTTTGAGCTGCTTTGCTTTTACATTCCAGTACCAATGAGTAAAACTGCCTGCAATATAAAAAAGACTAACATTAAAATGATTTTTCAAATGATGCTGCTACATTTGTGTATAGTAAACCATATGTTCAAATAAAATATCCTAGGAGAAGTATGAAATTTTAAGATTGTGTTATGGAATGGAGATAATTCTCCATCAGCATTATTTATGTAATTTACAAAATATGGCAATAGCTATTGGAATTTCTAAATATAAAGTGAATATATACATTAATATAAACATGATATGTTGGGAAATGCAATATTAATTTACTAAATGAAAGCTCCGTGTTCTAATTGCTTTGGTTTCTGATGCAAGGTTTTCTTTTTTTTTTCTGTTAGGTACCTATTGCACCATTCTTTGGCAAAAGCTGTTCAGCAGTGGTGATCTCTTCCAATCCAACACTCTACAAATTATTATCTCTGGACTCCCAGCTGACATCCTGCCGGAGGCAAGATCTACTAAGCCAACTGGAACTGTGCCTTTTCTCTTGTCAAGTTTTTTTTCTTACACAGGAAAAAGAAAGAAGAAGAAAAAAAGAGATGAAGTTGGGCAAAGTGGAGTTCTGCCATTTTCTGCAGCTCATAGCTCTCTTCCTGTGCTTTTCTGGGATGAGTCAAGCGGAGCTCTCAAGGTCTAGATCGAAGCCCTATTTCCAGTCAGGAAGGTCCAGGACCAAGCGCAGCTGGGTGTGGAATCAGTTCTTTGTGCTGGAAGAATACATGGGTTCAGATCCACTCTATGTAGGAAAGGTAGGTACTGGCCTTTCAAAGTTACAAAGGAGTGTTGTCATTGTCTGTGTTTGGATTGAGAATTGCATTGTTTTGCATTTAGGGATGCAAAGCAAACATTACTTTTATGAAAGAATGTATGGGTTGTGCTCAGAATACTATCCAGGACAGTGAAACTATGACCTAAAGACTGTTGTTTTTATTCCTAAAAAACAATTGAGGAGTTTATGAGGTCTGCTTTGTTGTTATGGTAGCACTCTGCCAAACTATTAGCATGAAAAGTAGAGCAAAGTTATCTAGTAGTAAATGAAGAGTAATGGGATCTTATACCAGCTGACTTTCTAGCTGTGTCTTTGGATAGTGTGTAAATAATAACTGTCCATCCATGTATGTTTGTATGTCAAGTATGTCTTGATACTTATGATTTAGAAAGTAAAAAGTGAAGTAATTGAAGCTGTAGTCTAAATTATGACCACTCATACTCATTTTCCCCGATGGCTACGTTTCATAGACCTTTTTGTTATTCCTTCCTTTTTTTACATTTTTTGAAAAAGATAAATGCTAGTATCAGTCAATTAAAACCAACAAATGATGAGCCGGTGGTGCATTGTATTTAGAGGCTAACTGTAACCAAATTGATTTTTTTTTTTTAAAGCTTACTTGTTTTTGAATATTTGGGCAGGAAACTTTTCTTTGAGGTCCCTCACATGACCTGACTTGATCACTTTTTTCTTTTGTTGCTGAGACAAAAACACTTGACCCCCAAAAGTATAAAAAGGGCAAAAAGGAGGGCCAGCCACTTTCTCTCCCTTACATTGTATGTAAGCTACCTGCTCCAGGGCAGGTGCAGCTCTCACACCACCAATCCCTGCACTAGACCTTGAACCGGTCACAAACTCTGGATTCAGTCATCTTTGAACGGTCTGCCACCATGGCTACATGAGACTTTGGGGGGACATCCAGAAAAAAAAAATGTAACATGACATTTCCCTGTAATTCTTAGGTCATATTCCGATTTCCAGTCTTTTTAAATTTCTAAGGTTTTCAATTTGCTTCTTAACATTGGTGAAAGTTTTCTAAGCAGAGTGTATCAGAAAAATATGTATGTCTTTATTTTTACTCTTCACTGTCAAATTTCTGCCTCTGTTCCTCATAAAATAAGCATAGCTAACTGATGAATTTATCAAAATTTTTTACTCACTTTGAACAATTTTTTTAAAAATCTTGATTATTTTTTCATGGGTCATTTTTTCATTTGAACACACCTTAAGAAAGAAGGAAAAAATTTTTGTCGATGGACATTTATATAATTCAAAATAATAATTATTATATTGATTGTTATTTCCTTATAGTGCCTCTGTATTTTATAAACACTAATTCGAACTGTGTAGTAAATACAAAGATATAAATAAAGTTATAATATTTAGGCATATGCAGTAGGATTATTCTAGGATCAATGATGGCATTTTACTTTCTTCAGAAAGCATATGTAAATATGCAAGAATTTTTGTGCACATGCGTTTTTTTCATAGCCTTTATCTTTTACAGGTGCACAATTATACAAAATATATTTATTTTATATGATACATGATATACTGTATATGTATATAATATAATATATTATATACATTTATTTTCTCGCAAAAAGCCTTACAGCTCATTTAACTTAGCCAGGCCTGGTGGCTTGTGCCTGTAATTCTAGTGCTTTGGAGGCTGAGGAGACAGGCTAGCTGTGAGTTAGAGGACAGCTTGTTCTGTAAAGTCAGTCCAGCCTGAAATACATAGCGAAACTCTGTCTTAAAAAGACAAACAAACAACAATGAAAAAAATTTAACCAGAACTGGAGTACTGTAGATTGTACATATGCAATGATGAAATTAATTTTTCGCCTGCCTGAATAAGATAAGAATAACTTTAGGGTCAATACATTTTTGATTACCTGGGTATATAAAATTAATTTTTTTCTGTCTAGTTGAGGGAGGTGGTGAACAGGGTGACAAATATTTGCAAAGTGGGTAACTAAAAATTGTAGAGACAGATTAGGAGGAATGGTTATGTGGGTAATCAAGCCAAGAAATAAAGAATTGATGATTTTGACATATAGATGTTTACATAGTTAAATGGTCACCCTCTTAGTTATCAACTGAGGATCTAACTGTTTAGTTAATCTGGAGGATATGAGTAATGACTTTTATGAACTTAAAAATAGTTTAATTTGATCATATAACGGATAAAGCGCATGTCAAATTGCTTTGTTGCTGGCTCTTGTCTCTAAAATAGAATAATGATACCTATTCGATACTATTAATAAATAACTTATCAAAAATATTTGGAGTATGTATTCAGCGAATGTAGACATTTTATACTTCACTATATATTAATTAAAGTTGACATTTATGGATAATCTATCATATTATGTGTCACATGAATACATCCCTCAAATTAAAGTGGATATTATTTACATTTTCCCAATTAATTAAGGAAGCAGTCTTGGTAGGTGCACTTAAAACTATAGAAGTCATATCTAAAGTTTTTCACATCTTAAAATTTGGAGACCATTGTAATAGTTTTTCCCCAACAAGACCAATTAAGATACTGCACAGTTAATAGAATTTCATCATTAGAACATTGAGGTTTATGTGACCTTTATATAGCTTCCAACTTTGTTCTTTCAGCTAATTCCTAGGTTTCCTTGATAGATGATAACCCAAGACCAAAGTAGACCATCTGTCACATGGAACCACGTGTGCTTCAGTGCATGGGTGCTGACTGGGGCTGAGACTTCAGTGTTGGCTCAGACTCTGCTAGCAGGACCTTTCTCTTTACCTTTCCACTGCTTTCTTGTGGTATAATTTAACAATCTGTTGACCTTAACTGAGTGAATTTAGGTAGTAAATTCAAGAAAAGACCTTAGACCTTACCCAAGGGCTTTTGTTTTAAAGAACAGTGGTACATCTTGCTCTGAGTGTATGTCTTCATTACTGTCATGCCCGTTTAATTTTTATCATCTGGGGAAAAAGAGTGGAGTATCCTTTCTTTTCTTGCTGAGACTGTGTGTTGTCCCAGTGTGCTATTTTGGGTATAAAGGTACCAAGGATGTCACGTGTTGTACTCATCTTACTGTACCACCCTGCTGTTTGTCATCTGCCACTTTCTCTCACTTTGTATTTTCCACTTAAAGTTTTCTAACCATCTGATCATATATATATATATATATAATGTTCTACAAAACCAGCCAACTCTGTTACTCTGTTCCTGGCATGAAGTGTTTTTCATCTTTCCTAACTGTATTGGGCTGCCAGGCAGGGACTGCCCGAGGCCATTGCTTTCATTGAGATGTGTGCTCCCTGCATCTTCCACAGTCCTTTTCTGGCTATCAAAATCATTTTTACCCTTTTTTGCTATACCCCTTTCTTCCTTACGTGTTCAGGGAGAATTTATACCTATTATCTTTGTAGAAATCATATACATAGAAATGCAGTGTTCAGAGTTCGCTTTCCTTTAAATTGAAGTAGGCTTGAAAATGTTGGTGATCATTTTTGATTTATTTCATTACATCCCAGCAACATCGCGCATCAAGGGATCTCTATCTCCTGATTTCTAAAACGGAATTGTGTATTCTGAAAAAAAAAGTTTTTATCATAAAAATATATTGTATTTTTTAAAAATAGTTAAATTGCAAATTAGATGCTTTAGCTGAAAAATTTTATATTATATACATAAAAAGAAAATAATGCATCACAAATATTAATTTTTTAAGGAGGAATATATTTATCAGAGGAAAAACCTGTATTATATAGACTCTGGAAAAAAAGGAGAAAATATACTTTAATTTTACATCCTCCCTAAAGTCAGATCAAATCTTAGAGAAGACCAGGGCAGCTTGTTTTTTCGGGAATGTATAGAAAACCCATTTTCATAGTATCTTGATAAGCAGAGTTAATTTGAAAAGGCCGTTGTTGTTCTTGCCATCTTGTGAGTTTGCTGATAAAAATGTGGAACTCCTGGTGGTTTCAAAAGGAATTTGGACATGGATTGGCTCTGTGGGATGCAAATAAGTTCAGATTTTTTTTGAAATATTTTCTGGTAGTTATTCCCAGCTCTTAAAGTACTCCAGTGCAACTATATGTTATTAAGTACATTTTTTCTGAACAACAAAATATCAATAATCTAAATTTTTTTCTCTTTTCACCATGTTATGTATCACTGTGCTAATAAAATGCAGAAACTCACAATAAGTTCAGTGTAATGCAGTACTGCTAAGTATCATCAGTGTTACCTTAAGACAGAAATGAACATTATGACTCTCAAAGATTTCATCAGATGAAATTATGCAACTAAAAGTTGAAGGAAATAGAGAACTTTCAGTTATATACTTAATTTTAGGTAGTTTATGAAAAGCTCTAAATCTTTCCTTCTATCTGTGCTAATCAAAATTATTTTAAAATACTGTCTTTCACATCTGTTTATTTTTATACACACTCACCACCTGCTTAGCTATGGAAGTCACAAAAATAAGTCTATAAGAGTTGTATTTTTATATTGTATTATTGTTAGATTTTTAAGTGCAAAATATCCATCTGAATATTGATTCAAATTTTTCCACATGATGTAAAACTTTGATAAGCTTCATGTGGGTGATTCACTTATAAACACACAGCCACATAATTTACTGCAGGCTTTGTGACTTACTAACATGCATGACAGAATTAGATAACAGCAGGACAGTTACCCAGCATTTCTTGATTTAATCATATACAGCTAAGCATTATGTTTGGGAAATTTTATGCTATCCATTTTGCATGATTTATAGTGATTATAAATCTTAGATAGAGTACCAAAAGATCCATTAGTTAGCACTTATATGCTTAACACTGTATCCAAAAATTCATGTGCACGCTATCATATCTGCAGTCTGTATTTCCTTTATTCCTCCTTCCTTCTTTAATTTCTTTTTCAAGAAATTGTCAAAAACCAACTGTGTGATAGATTTTGTGCTATATTTAGGATTTTAAAATAGA